TGGGCCTGATGGAAGCAGGCGTTGGGTAGCTTGGGAACCGCTTGTCCTTAACCTGTGGCTGGTTGGCTTGCAGAGCCCATGCTTCCCCTGCTCTTGGTTTACCAATTTCCCCTTTTTCTACCCTGCTCACTCTGGTGTGGCTGTCATCCTAAACAAGTGTCATAGGAAGGGACTAACTACTGATTGGATGGATGCCAGCACTTACCCATGAGGCTGAGGAGGCTGCCCCATACAGCCCCCTCTGCCATCACAGACAGCAGAGTTGGGTGGCCTGGTCTCAGGAGCCCTGCTCCTCTGTGAACTCAGCTGCATGCCGTTGACAAATTACCAAGTTTTTTTCTGGGTCTCAGTTTCCCTGTTGGTAAGATGGGCTTGGGGATGTCATCTGTTGGGGTGGCTGGAATCGAGTAGGAACCAAGGCAGGTGTTTGGGGATCACACTCTCTGTTATTTAGCCTCCCAGACTGCTCCCCACAGAGCTTCTGTGCTCAGGCAGACAGGGACCCACCAGCTCATCCGTGATTCCTTTGACCACCTGAGAGGTGGCCAGGGACAGGATGGGAGCTGTGGGGTAGCCTTTTAGATTCTTTAGAACCTGAAAGATGGAACCCTGAGGAAAAGGGTCATGGAGCCCAGAAGGAATCCTGGAAATGAGTCTAGCTGGGATGAGGAAACAGCCCCTATACTCACCCCACCCCAAGCAGGAAATCTATGCTGAGAACTTTCTGTTTAAGAGACCTCTGGGGAGAACTGGCCAGAAAGGAGCTGTTTGAGGGAGGGTTTAAAATTAGCCCGGGTGAAATGTGTGGCCCCTGGGGAAAACTGAAGCAAAGGTTTCTGTGGGGCTCCTCTGGTCTGGATCTTTGACCCAAACCATATCCTGCCTTCCTGCAGAGGACCAAGAGGAGAGAGGGGAGTGGTACTGATTGATCTAGGTTCCTCCATCCAGGGCAATGGCAGCTGTCCTCTTTTGGCTTATTCTCTGGGGGTGAGGTGTTGGGGAGAGACCCTGAGCTACCCAGAGGGTTAGGTGCTCAGATCCTATTGTCCTTTTGCAGCACCCAAAGACATGCATCACCTTTGCCAGGCTGTGTATAGTAGGGAGACCTGGGTAGCTTTTTTTTTTTTTTTTTTTGAGATGGAGTTTCGCTGTTGTTACCCAGGCTGGAGTGCAATGGCGCGATCTCGGCCCATTGCAACCTCCGTCTCCTGGGCTCAAGCAATTCTCCTGCCTCAGCCTCCCAAGTAATTGGGATTACAGGTGCACACCACCACGCCCAGCTAATTTTTGTATTTTTAGTAGAGATGGGGTTTCACCATGTTGACCAGGATGGTCTCCATCTCTTGACCTCATGATCTACCCGCCTCGGCCTCCCAAAGTGCTGGGATTATAGGCGTGAGCCACCACACCCAGCCCATGAGCCACTGCGCCCAGCCTGGTTTTTTTTTTTTGGGGGGGACAGAGTCTCCCCCTGTTGCCAGGCTGGAGTGCAACGGTGTGATCTCAGTTTACCACACCCTCCACCCCCCGGGTTCAAGCAATTCTCCTGCCTCAGCCTTCTGAGTAGCTGAGATTACAGGCATGCACCACCACGTGCCACTAACTTCACTAATTTTGTATTTTTGGTAGAGACAGGGTTTCTCCATGTTGTTCAGGCTGGTCTTTAACTCCTGACCTCAGGTGATCTGCCCACCTTGGCCTTTCCCAAAGTGTTGGGATTACAGATGTGAGCTGCTGTGCCCCCCACCCACTTTTTTTTTTTTTTCTGGAAATGGAGTCTTGCTCTGTCTCCCAAACTGGAGTGTAGTGGCACTATAATAACTCAGTACAGCATCTTTTTTTTTTTGGAGATGGAGTTTTGCTCTTGTGGCCCAGGCTGGCATGCAATGGCATAATCTCTGCCTACCACAACCTCCACCTCCCAGGTTCAAGCAATTCTCCTGCCTCAGCCTCCTGAGTAGTTGGGATTATAGGCATGTGCTAATAGGCCCAGCTAATTTTATATTTTTAGCAGAGATGGGGTTTTTCCATGTTGGCCAGGCTGGTCTTGAACTCCTGACTTCAGATGATCCACCTGCCTCAGCCTCCCAAAGTGCTGGGATCACAGGCGTGAGCCACTGCGCCCGGCCTTTTTTTAAGATGAAGTCTCACTCTGTTGCCCAGGCTGGAATGCAATGGTGTGATCTTGACTCACCGCAACCTCTGCCTCCTGGGTTCAAGGGATTCTCCTACCTCAGCCTCCTGAATAGCTGGGACTGTAGGCATGGGCCACCACACCTGGTTAATTTTTTTTTTTTTTTTTTTAGTAGAGGCAGAATTTCACTGAGTGGGCCAGGCTGGTCTCGAACGCCTTACCTCATGATCTGCCTGCCTTGGCCTCCCAAAGTGCTGGGATTACAGCCGTGAGCCGCCGTGCCTGGCTGAGGCCTGCGTTTTGAGCTCTAGGTCTGCTGTCTTTAAAGAACAAGCTGTGTGACCTTGGGCAAGTCAATTCCGCTTGGGGATTTATATGCACAGTTTGAGACCCTTACATCAAAGAGCAGAGAGGCCTGCTGGGTTCGGGTCCAGGAGCTCAATTTGGCCCATCCTGGAGCCTTGGCTGTTTGGATCCCCAGATGCTGCCAACAACAAGGCAGGATTGGAGTGGTGTGTATGCAGAGCATGGGCTGCCAGGGCAGTGAGGTGTGAGGTGCCATCACCCCAGGCCCTGGGCACAGAGGCTGGCATAGCAGCACCTCTGCTGAGGGAAAGACATGTCTCAAGGGGGAAGATGTGTCCCAAGTGGTCCGAGATTCTGCTGGCTGTGCTTGGCAAAAGCTCAGATGAGAGAAGTTTGTTTTCATCATGGCTGGGAGTCATTCTTGCGTGGATGGGAGTGGTAACACCAGTAACCAGCAGCTATCCTGGCTGGTTTCCTTTACATTCTTGGCCCTGTTGAATTCTCTGGGTGCGTTGAGAGCAGTTTTGTCTAATACTGCTCTAGCTTCCTAATACAAGCCACTGATCAAAGCCATTGTCTCAGAAAGGCTGTTGACTGGGGCCAGCGAGCCATCATTAGAGCATGGAGCAAGTTCTTTGGTTCTTTGGTACCTCTCAAGAAGGGGATGTGGCCCACTCTAGGGCAACTAAATGCTTTCAAGAGTAGCCGTGTGATGGGGTGAGGCATGTGAACTTCTAAAATCTGCAGTGGTCAGTTCAGAAGACCTGTGCTTGGCTTAGCAGGAAGAGATGTGGCCCAGAGCGGGAGTCAAGTGTGTAGGGACACTCTGCTTGTTCACATTTTTTTTCTTTTTTTGAGATAGAGTCTTGCTCTGTTGCCCAGGCTGGAGTGCAATGGTACAATCTCGGCTCACTGCAACCTCCACCTCATGGGTTCAAGCGATTATCCTGCCTCAGCTTCCTGAGTAGCTGTGATTACAGGGGCCTGCCACAACACCTGGCTAATTTTTGTATTTTTGTAGAGATGGGGTTTCACCATGCTGGCCAGGCTGATCTTGAACTCCTGATCTCAAGCGATCCGCTGGCCTCTGCTTCCCAAAATGTGAAGCCACTGCGCCTGGCCATACTGTTCATTATTCAGGAAGCCACAGTTTCAAAAAGTGTTTTAATGGATCCAAGCTATGGAAAATATCCCTTCCCCCATCACAATTTTTGGCCGATCGGGGCTTGCTAGTTTAGCCTCGGGTGCCAGCAGCATTTAAATAGCAGCAGTGACTGCAGTCACAGGATGGACACCTGGTGTTTAGACCTGGCTTGTAACCATGTTGGGGGTGAGGCTCGAAACTCACAGCATCAGTCCAGCTGAGGTGGCCAGATCCCACTTGAGATCAGGAGTTCAAGACCAGCCTGGCCTATGTGGTGAAACCCTGTCTCTACTAAAAACACAAAAAATTAGCTGGGCATGGTGGCGCATGCCTTTAATCCCAGCTACTTGGGAGGCTGAGGTGGGAGAATCACTTGAACTGGGGAGGGAGAGGTTGCAGTGAGCTGAGATTGCACCGCTACACTCTAGCCCGGGTGACAGAGTGAGACTCCATCTCAAAAAAAAAATCCCATCTCACAGCCTGAAGCTGGCAAGATCTTGCTTGTTCTTTGAAACTCAGCATAATGGTTCTGACTCCTTACCCATTCCCCTGTTCAGTCAACATTTACTCCCATCACCCTGCTAGCAGCAGGGAGGGAGGCAGGAGTACAAGGTGTTCCTTGCCGTTGAAGAGCTCACATCTCATGTAGGAGCAGGAGATGGATGAGAAAGTTCCCAGCCCTCTGTTGAAATCACTGCAGTGCCTAGTGGGCATAGGACTCTGTTTCCTTTACATCTTTGCCTCTCCTCAGACCAGACTGGAGACTGTCTCCCGGGACGCCATGGGTATCATCTAAAAAAACAGATACTTTTTTGTCTGAGGGGCCAGTAACACAATGGATAAAAAAAAAAAAAAGATATTTTTTTATATGTACATTTTTAGGGGGTTAGGCACTGTATCTTTCTTCAAATTCTTAGAGGAGGCTTTGGTTTGAAAAGGCATGCTGATTGGCCAGGCGTGGTGACGTACCTCTGTAATCCCAGCTACCTGGGAGGCTGAGCCAGGAGAATCTCTTGGACCTGGGAGGCAGAGGTTACAGTGAGCTGATATCACGCCACTGCACTCCAGCCTAGGTAACAGAGTGAGACTCTGTCTCAAAAAAAAAAAAAAAAAAAGTCATGCTGGGCTGGGTTTGTACCCTTATTGAACAGGGCTTTCTTTCTGCAGACTCAGTCTGTGTGCAGAGGCATCTGGCAGAGCTGCATGATGCCCCTGGGATGAACCCAGAGAAGGGAAAGCGCTTTGAGAAATTCAGTGCTGTAAAACTGCTAATTTGCCTCGGTGTCCAAGGAGGCCCAGGAAAGACTGAGTTCCCGAAGCTTTAGAAGAATCCCAGTTGCCTGCCTGAAGGAAGAGCTGTTGTCATCCCTGTTTGTCTTGGGCAGCCTGGCCCTGATCACTGGTCTATGTCCCCAGGTCCGGACACTGTTTGTCAGCGGCCTCCCTGTGGACATTAAACCCAGAGAACTGTACTTGCTCTTCCGGCCGTTCAAGGTGAGTCAGGACCTGGCCACCCACTGGGTAGAGCCTGGGACCCTGTAGAAGCAGCAGGAGTGAATCTTGGGCTGGGGCCAGGCAGCAGGATCATGCGGGAAGGTGTGGTAGAGGCTGTGGGGGCAGCTGCACCCCTCTTTCCTGGTTCTGTGAATTCCTGTGCTGCCTTCTGAGAATCCGTTTCCTCACTGGTTAAATGGAAGACAGTGAGAATCTTTAAACACATGTGATCGTATAAAGAATATTTGAGATTCAGTGTAGCCTTTTCAGTTTGCAGATGAGAAAACTTGTAAGGTCTATGCTCTCAGGTCACGAGTTAGTGGAGCAAATGGGAATTTCTGCCTGAAGTGATGAGCGCTGCTGCATGCTGCCCACCCCACGTGCTAGACCATGTGATTCAGAATACAGGGCGGTGGATGACACTTGGCAGTGGTGGAGGTCAGGGTGGGTTGTTGTTGACGGGGAGAAGGGTGTGAGAATGATTCAGGGGATGCCTGGGAAAGGGGCTGATGAGGTGGCAGTGCTGGGTTAGCACAACACACACTTCTGACCTTCCCCAGTAACAGCCACCTCTCTCTGCAGGGGTATGAAGGGTCCCTGATCAAGCTCACCGCGAGACAGGTAATTTCTCTCCTGGGGTTTTCTTCCTCCCAGCCCAGACTGACTGCTGAGATTGGAACCTTTCCCTAATCTAGAGGCATCCAGCGGTAGAGACTTGCTCCCTGCTGTCCCAGCGCTTCTTTACCGGCCAGCTACTGGTCCTCCCTGTCTGCTTCTTAGGAATCTGGAAGCCACTGCTTGCCCTGCTGGCTGAGGACAGTAGAGCAGGTAGCTGAGCTCTAGCTTTTGATACAAGGAGGCCAAGGCCCGCCAGCCTTCAGGGGCTATTTCGGGTCTAGACTGATCCTTGGAAAATGAAGTTGGAGCCGTTTTCAACCTGTTGCTCCTTGATTGACCTGGAGCCTTCCATGCCCTTGGTACATTGCAGTCCACTGTCTTGCTGTGGAAAACACTGAGACTTACTTTTAGTTATCTGCATGCATTAAAAAAAAAAAAAACTTTGGCTGGGCGTGGTGGCTCATGCCTGTATCAGCACTATGGGAGGCCAAGGCGGGCAGATCACCTGAGGTCAGGAGTTCAAGAACAGCCTGGCCAACATGGTGAAACCCTGTCTTTAAAAAATAAAAGTAAAAAAAAAAAAAAACTCTTACTAAAAGGGCGATGTTTAATTCGGTGGAATTAAGCTCTGCTGGTGTCACTTCCCACCGGGTGTTACCAGAGAATGAGACTGGACTTTTGGCGCACATCAAGCTGCTGTTCCAGTGAACATGGGCTGGAGTTTTGGGGGCTTTTTTCCTTCTGTATTCTCTTCTCATAGCAAGGCAAATACTGTTTCCACATAGGTGATACTCTTTGTTTCATTTTGTTTTGGAGGGAGGGGTGGGATGCTGGGAGAGTTGTAAGGGTGTTCTCTCTTTTTCCTACTAGCCTGTTGGTTTTGTGATCTTTGACAGCCGGGCAGGAGCAGAAGCAGCCAAGAATGCGTTGAACGTGAGTAGGAGGAGGACAGGTCTTCTCTGACCCTCAGACCTCTTAGGCAATGGGTGTGCAGATGTAGCTTATTTCCCAGCCATCCCTGGGCAGAGTCCTTGGTGGCACTGTCTCTGCCAAACGCCATTACTCAAGGCCTGCGCAGCCTTTCCTCTGCCTTAGCCGCTGTGTGGGCAAGTCTTCCAGGTGAGCTTGTTTATAGGGCCCTTAACTGCCATTAACACTCTGGGTCCTCCAGAGTAAGCCTTTCTCTTCTCTTCTCTACCCATGTAGGGTATTCGCTTCGATCCTGAGAACCCACAGACCCTGAGGCTAGAGTTTGCCAAAGCCAACACCAAGATGGCCAAAAGCAAGCTAATGGCGACTCCAAATCCTAGCAACATGCATCCCGCCCTAGGAGCACACTTCATTGCACGGGACCCCTGTGAGTGGCACTCCGAGCTGGCAGGGCCTCATGGAGGTGCATTCGGGGCAGACTTGCAGACTCTTACAGAGGGAAGCCCCTTTTCCAGGAGGCTTTTTAAAATGTCTGTGGCCACCATCTTTTGAGACACCTGGTTTTCTTCCCTCCCCCACAGCCTTCCTCGAGCTTCTGAGCTTCCAGGGCTCCTAGCTTCCCTGAAGCCTTCTCTGATTTCTCATTTGAGACGGGCTGAGGCCTGCCTGACAACTTGTTGAAGCAGGCGGGATGTGCACCATGACAGGCCAATTTAACGTGGCTTCCTTGCCTGGTCTCGGGGTCCTCAGTGGTTGGGGGTGGCCTGGCCTCACTGTAGGGCGTATGGCTCAGCCATAGTGTTGGGTTCCCTTCTCTGTTTGGAAGGGGAGGCGAGTGTTCTGATGATGGAGGCCGTTGTCTCCTGTTGTAGATGACCTGATGGGGGCTGCTCTGATCCCTGCATCCCCAGAGGCCTGGGCCCCCTACCCTTTGTACACCACAGAGCTGACCCCAGCCATCTCCCATGCGGCGTTCACCTACCCAGCTGCCACTGCCGCCGCTGCTGCCCTCCATGCTCAGGTAAGCCCCTTAGGGTTGGGGAGGGTGAAGAACGAGGGCTCCAAGCTGGCCAGACTTTGTGCTGCCTGGCCGCTCAGATGCTGCTGTCTCAGAGCTGCAGCAGAACTCTTGTCTTCCTCGATGGTTTGAAAGCCCAGACCCCAGGGACCTATGTATCCCTGCCCCTGGCTTTAGGATCTGACAGGAAGGGAGAAGATAACCCACAAATTCCCATGGAGGATGCCAGGCAGCCCAGCTGCAGTTCTCCAGCCCCGAGCACTCCTGCCCAGGTACCAACTGTGTTCTCCCATGGTCATGGGACCTTGACTCCAGTCCTAACCTTGGTATGGTCGCCGCAGCCAGAGCACTTGCCTCTGCCCCTTCCTGTCCCTTTCGTCACGCTCTTAAAGATTGCTGTGCCTTGATTTTTTTTTTTTTTTAATTATCTGGAAAATGAGAATGATCATATAATCTGCATCAGGGAATTGTGAAAGTTAGACGTCAAGATAAAGTGACCAGTGAGTGCCAGGATGGAACCTGGAGCACCCAGAGAGCTCACTGAGCATTGGCGCTTGCTTCCATGAAGGCTGGACACCGTCCACTGTGAACCTGTGCTGGGCAGGAAGCAGGGAGCGAATGCTTCTGTGGAGAGTCAGGGCTGTTAGAGCTGGGCGGGGAGGGTTCTGTGTGGGGTGCTGATCTGGGTGCCCAAGGGGCAGGCAGGGGGTTAGGCCCTCCCCTGGCCATGCAGGCACTTCCTCTGGTCTGACTCTGCCATAAGTGCAGGTCACTGTAGCACACTGCAGGGGAGGTCTCATCCCACTGTGTGTTTGTCAGGGAGCGGGGATGGTGCCTCACAGTGGCAGTGACAGAATGGGGCCAGGTAGCCATAGGAAGGGGCTGGAGGGCACTCTCGAGCCCACCTCAGCCTCTGACCAGCCAGGTGATGAGTGCTGATCCCAGGAAGAGCGGCCCGGTCAGGGCGTGCTGTGCTGCTGTGAGGAAGAGAATCAAGGCTGCTGGGACCTGGCTGGGGAGCAGGAAGGCCTCACGACGTTCAGTTGTACTGAGGGCAGAATCACAGGTAACCTTGGTACTCTTCTCCAGCCAAGCACCACAAATAGCTGGAAAATTGATCAGAGGATAAGGAAGGTGGTAAAGACCTTCTCCTGGAGGGAATTGTTGGGTATTTACTGCAAACTGGGTTCTGTGGCCGGAATAGAGTGGGCAGCAGGGAAGCCCATCCTGTCCACTCTGACCTGGGCAGTTACCTGATGCTTCAGGTCAAGCGGGCAGGCTTAACTGCAAGGCCCTGGGAGGCACTGGAAGGAATCACAGGCTCCCACCTCACCGGGCTCCTCACTTTTGATCCCAGCTTTGGCACCAATTAGCTACATGATCCTCACCTCTGGTCCTCTGTGTCCCCATCTGTAAAATGAGAGGCATAGAGCAGATCAGGTGGAGAGGTTCTGCCCCATCCTCTGAGTTGCTAGGCTGTGACAGAGGTTGGGAGCCAGGGACAATGTGTTCATCGAATGAATCAGAAAGGGCACCTCTGTCCAACCTTCTGGGGGTAGCGCTGCTCTCTGGCCCTGAGCTCCACGCCACAGGCCTCCTTCCTCTGTTGGCTTCCCTCCCACAGTTTTCTCCCACCTCATCCATACTCTGCAGCTGTCCAACTCTGGCCCAAATCCTGGTTCTCAACAGCTGTGGGATGTTGGATGTGTTACCTACTGTCTCTGTGTTTCTGTAAAGTGATAATAGTGCCTACTTGATAGGTGTGTTGTTAGCGTGATGGCATGGAGGAAGTGCTGTGGAAGTGCAGGTGATCATGATTGTTACTTAATATCACTATTGTATGGGTCCCCTTAGTCTTCTCTGAGACTGGAGGCATCTTTGTTCCTGAGTTCCTGCTTTCTGGCCTTCCTTGGACAGGGACTGGGATAGAGGCCACTCACCCCAAAGGATAGTGGTGTTTTGGGGAGGCAGGCTAATGGGAAGAGATTAGACCAGGGAGTCATTTGTTCTGTGCTTGTTACCCAAACTCTCTGGGCAGCCATTTCCTCCATAGTGAAAACAGGCTGGGCGAAGTGGCTCACGCCTGTAATCCCAGCACTTTCAGAGGCTGACGTGGGTGGATCACGAGGTCAGGAGATTGAGTCCATCCTGGCCAACATGGTGAAACCCTGTCTGTACTAAAAATACAAAAAAATTAGCCAAGCGTGGTGACGCATACCTGTAGTCCCAGCTACTCGGGAGGCTGAGGCAGGAGAATCTCTTGAACCTGGGAGGCAGAGGTTGTGGTGAGCCGAGATCGCGCCATTCCACTCCAGCTTGGGCAATAAGAGTGAAACTCTGCCTCGAAAAAAAAAATTTATTTTTTCCTTCCAACAGCCCCACTCCTTGACCTCTGACAGTGCTGCCCCAGAGATGGAGGTTAAAAGTGTCTAAATAAAGGAAGTATGGATACAGTTGATCTTAAGCGGATTGTTCTGAACCTAAAGGACCAACAGAAGGACTGAGTTTTTCTGTGCCTGAGGGCAAGGAGGTACCTTCAAGAGGAGGTAGCAGCTAAAAGACAAGGGGATGAAAGCGAGTGCCCCTCCATTCTCTACTGCAGCTGCATGCCCTTTGCCGGTAGCCCAGCCTGAGCCCAGGCCTCCATAGCTATGTGGCTGCAGAGACCAGACCTACAGGAGGGGCCTGGAGATTGTTAAGTCCTGCACTGTCTTGGCATGAAGCCACCTTGCCTGGCCTTCTAACCTTCTTGTTAGAATCTTCCCCTTTAAGAGGGTGAGGCACAAAAGCAACTGTGGATGGCAAGCCCAGTGGAGTTTAGCATAGAAAAATGGTGGCCTGAAAGCAGGACTTCTCGGTGTCCTATTGCATCCCAGGGACCTCCCAGACTGGATTTCATTTTCCATTCCAACCTGAGGATATGGGGATCTTCCATGACTCTTTTCTCCCCCTTAAACTGGTTCAGCCATTTACCAGTGAGTGACCTTAAGGTTACATAAACTCCCTTGCCTCTATTTTCTTATCTATATAATGGAGATGATAATAGCGTCTACTTCATAGGGTTTTTGTGAAGATTAAATGCATTTAGTATATGAAATCTACCTAGAACAGCATCTGGTGCATGGAAAATGCTTCATGAGCAGTTGCTATTATTATATTAGCATATCTTTATTTATAAAATAAAACACGAAGTTCTCTTTGGCTTATCATCCAATCCCCAAAAAACCTGTACTTTTAATTCTTCACTTTGATAGGTAGTTTGGAGCAGGTGTGTGAGTAAATCCATATGTATGAATCTTAGAAAAATTATATGACTTATTTAATCTTTTAAATATTAGAGGGCCTGGCGCAGTGGCTCATGTCTGTAATACCAGTACTTTGGGAGGCCGAGGTGGGCAGATCACCTGAGGTCAGGAGTTGAAGACCAGCCTGGCCAACATGGCGAAACCCCATCTCTACTAAAAAGTAGAAAAATTAGCCGGGTGTGGTGGTAGGCACCTATCATCCTAGCTACTCAGGAGGCTGAGGCAGGGGAATTGCTTGAACCCGGTAGGCAGAGGTTGTGGTGAGCTGACATAGTGCCACTGCTCTCCAGCCTGGGTGACAGAGTGAGACTCCATCTCAAAAAAGGAAAAAACCTTAAATAGTAAGACTTTAAAATACATGTATATATTAGTAAGTGTAGCTCTGCGTTTTGGATGCCTGGCCAGTACACCATTGCACAAATGTGTCCAGCTCCCTGTAGATGGTAAGTTGGTTTGTTTACGCAGTATTTGCTATTGATAGCTATACAACAATGGATGTCCTTGTGCGTACTTCTCTGGGCACGTCTTCTGTTTTGTTTTCTTTGTGATAAATTCCTAGAACTATGACAAGGTCAAAGTGTAGACTTACCAATCTGGGCTAAATACTGTTTTAATTTCAGATGAGTGAGGCTTCCATATTTTTGGTTGCTTATATATCTTTTTTAGTTTTAGTTGTTTTTTTTTTGAGACAAGGTCTCGCTCCATTGCCCAGGCTAGAGTGCAGTGGTGTCATCTTAGCTTTTTGTAATCTCTGTCTCCTGGACTCAAGTGTGACCCTCCTGCCTCAGCCTCCCAAATTGCTGGGATTACAGGTGTGTGCTACCATGCCCAGCTAATTTCTGTATTTTTTGTAGAGATGGGGTTTTGTCATGTTGGCTATACCGGTCTCAAATTTCCGGGCTCAAGAGATCCCCCCACCTCTGCCTCCCAGAGTGCTGGGATTAAGGCGTGAGCCATCGCGCCTGGCCTTATATTTATTCTCATGTAGGTTCATCCTGTTGCTTGCTCTCTGGTATATCTTCTCAGCTGGTCAGTCCCACGGTCTGAGAGAGGGTTGCCTTTGCATCCTCTGCTCTTTGTTTTGAAGGAGCCCTCTGGGAGCCTGGTCTCTGAAGCCTGTTGGGTGGACTCTCAGGAGCCCCGGCTCCCCCTGTGCACAGCTGGAGGCCCTGAAAGGACACTGCGGGTGCCTCTTCTTGCTGGCCCAGCCCCTGCTGGGGGTCTCCTCTTCTGAGCTGGAGCAGAAAGAAAAAATCTAGGAAGGGACTGTGTGGCTTCTAGAGGACCCAGGCCGCTGCCCTATGCTGGACAACCGAAGGAAGTGGAAAAGCAGCCACTCTAGTGCGTTCTGTCTGCTTCAGTGGCACGGCTGACCCAAGCCCATAAATGGGAGCTTTTCTCTACTTTCTCCCTAAGGAGTCACGTGACTCCTCTCAGGCTGGAGGGAAAGTCGCTGCTTTGGAAGCAGGAGTCCCAGCACCTTGTAGCTAGAGGGTAAGGCAGGATCCAGCAGATTCTCTGGAGGCGGCCTTACGCAGTCATTCAAGGCCTCAGATTCCCAGTGGTGAAAGAGGGTGGGTTGCAGGCCTCCAGAGCTCCTCCCACTCTGTCGTCCCCTTGTCTGGCCCTGTGGGACACCCAGCCCGTCAGGCATTTCTTGCTGTGGGGCTGCACCAGCTGGAGGCCACATGAAGGGCGGTGGTCTGGGCCCACTAAGGGGCTCCCTGGGCTGGTGCCAACCACCAGCTTTTCGGTAGCAGCATTGCTGATCTCCTCATGTGTCTGTCTCTTGTGGAATAAGTTCTAGTGTCCAGCCAGGCTTCTAGCTTCCTGCTGAGCTCCTGGGAGGAGGTAGTGGCTGGAATTCTGCCCTGTACAAAACAGGACCTAGAATTTGTGGGGGACATGAACCAGTTCTTGGGAAGCTTCTGTCAGCCCCGAGATGGCCTGGCATGGCTCACCCAGGAAGCAGGAGTTCCCAGCAGCCAAGTGGGTAACTGGGTCTGCCTGCTCCAACCTCAAGGGAGCTGTCTGCAGGCCCAGCTTCTACTCCTTTCCTCCCACATGCTAGTGTGCTGCCCCCTCCCTTCCTAGTGGCGACTCCAGCTCCCCTTCCAGGGTGCTCATTCCCAGACCCCAAGTCAAGGACCTGTGTTGTCCTGCCCCCACCCTTTCCCCGGCGATCCTGGGTCAGGCTGAGGCAGACATGCTTCACTGTGCGTAACTGGGGCAGGTGGCCTTCCCTGAGGTCTTGGCAGTCAGCATACTTCCCTTCGAGATGATCAGCCCATGGGGAGGAGGGAGTGTGCCATTTTCTTGACCAGTTTCTGGGAACCCAGCTTTGGGGTGACTGCTCTGTGGGGCCTTCTGGCAAGTGCCAGGGCTTAGGCAGCTTCCAGGCACTGGTGAGGATGATCTCAGATAGCTTCCACCCACCTGAGTTTGCAGACTTCTAGACTTAAGGAGCTTGTAATGGAGGGCAGGCACAGCAGGGCTGGAAAGGTCAAAACAAGGGAGCCTCGGCTGGGTCTCATCCATGGCTTCTCTGAAGAATCAGGACCAACATTGGAGAGCTCTACCCTTGGGGTCTACATGGGTTTTGTGTTGTTTAATAGAGACAGGGTCTCACTAATGTTGCCCAGGTTGGTCTTGAACTCCTGGGCCTCATGTGATCCTCCCTCTTCAGCTTCCCGAAGTGTTGGGATTACAGGTGTGTGCCACTGCACCCGGTCCTTACAGTATCTTTTTTTTTTTGAGATGGAGTCTCCCTATGTCACCTAGGATGGAGTGTAGTGGCATGATCTCAGCTTACTTCAACCTCCGCCTCCTGGGTTCAAGCACTTCTCCTACCTCAGCTTCCTGAGTAGTTGAGATTATAGGTGCACACCACTACACCCGGCTAATTCTTTTTGTATTTTTAGTAGAGATGGAATTTCACCATGTTGCTCAGACTGGCCTTGAACTCCTAACCTTGTGATCCTCCTACCTTGGCCTCCCAAAGTGCTGTGATTATAGGCGTGAGCCACCGCACCCGGCCTTACTGTATCTTTACATCCTGTCTTACCTGATCCTCACAACCACTATGACTTTTTAATTTCTGTCCTATAGCTGGGTGAGGACACTGAGACTCAAAGAAGTCAAACAAAAAATGTACGAGGCTCATTCTCTTCCTAACGTTAGAATTCCGTGGTCTATCAGTAAAGGGGAAGGGTGGGTTGCTAGCACCACTGCCCCCGCCTGCCAGGACTCCTGCCAGCATAGTGTGGCCCATTTGAATTGGGCTTAGTGGGGTATGAAATGCCTGCATAACCTTCTCTTGCTGGAATTGGTGTCCTGCAGAGGAGGCACATCAGGCAGTGCTCTCTCACTTTCCTAATGGAGAAACGTGCTTAAAGGTGAGTAACTGCCTGGTGCGGTGGCTCACGCCTGTAATCCCAGCACTTTGGGAGGCCGAGGCGGGTGGACCACGAGGTCAAGAGATCGAGACCATCCTGGTCAACATGGTGAAACCCCATCTCTACTAAAAATACATAAAATTAGCTGGGCATGGTGGCGCCTGCCTGTAATCCCACCTGCTCAGGAGGCTGAGGCAGGAGAATTGCCTGAACCCAGGAGGCGGAGGTTGCGGTGAGCTGAGATCGCGCCATTGCACTCCAGCCTGGGTAACAAGAGTGAAACTCCGTCTCAAAAAAAAAAAAAAAAAAGGTGAGTAACTGGCCCAACGTCTGCCAGACAGTCAGTGACAGAACTAGGACTCCAGTGGGGACACCGACGGCCATGGTTCCCAGGTTTCCTCTTGAGTGAAGGGGTGCACAGCTGGCTTCCTGACATTGGCTTCTCTTGCAGGTGCGCTGGTACCCTTCCTCTGACACCACCCAGCAAGGATGGAAGTACCGTCAGTTCTGTTAGTTCTTCAGTAAGTGTTGGCCCCAGAGGCCCAGGACAAGTGTCCTCCTCAACTCCGGCTCCCTGCAGGGCTGGAGTTCCTCCCTCTGCCCGGGTCTTGAGAGCTTAGCCGAGCCCAGAGCTTGGTCACGGGTGCGTCAGGCTGGTTTTTCCTTCTGTCTGTGACTGCAGGCCATCCACTTGTACAGCCCCTCACCAAAGGAAGGCCTGGCTTTGGCTCCAGTGCTGCGCCTCTGCTCATGGCTGCCTCTCTCCCTCCCTCCAGGTCTGGTCACCGGGGAGTTGGTTCTGGGAATCTAATGTGGTACTGGGACAGGCGCCCTGAGCTCCCACCGCCCCCGGGTGGCCTGTACAGAGCTGCTGCTGCCCTCCAGAGACTGTGAATCCTAAGCCTGATTCAGTGGACTGCTTCCTGTTCCCCTCCCTCCCCTTCCTCAGCCCTGTTCTGCACCCTCAAGCCTTTCTCCAATGCCTCCCAGGAGGATTTAGGGACCTTCTTGCTGGGGCATCCAGACCGAGCTCAGAGGCCTCACTGGGACCCAGCAAGGCCTGACCTCCCGCCCAAACTTGCTTCTGTAGCTCCTCCTCGAGGAAGCGAGGCGTTTAATTTTGCATGTTTTCTGGCATGAATGAAGACACTTACACTTGTGTATATGTGAGTGTACAGTTTGTTTTCACACTGTCACCATAGCGACAGGTCCTGGCCCCCAGTGGTTCATCCTGCCTGGCCCCTCCTCACCCTGCCCCTGCACCCACCCCGCTTCAGGGAGGCCCAGAGCCCTGTGGCCCCATGCGCTTCCAGGCTCAGCTCCCACCTCCACCCAGCAGATAGATGGGGTTTGCTTTTTCATTTCACACTGGGCTCCTCCTCTGTTGCTGTCTTCTTGGACCAGCCTCCTCTGCCCATCCTGTTCACCTCTCCACAACGCACCCCGCCCGCCGCTGCTCCGCGTTTCTTCCAAACCTCGAAACCAACCAAACCGTGAAAAGTATTTTTGTACCCTGTGTAACAAAATATTTATGCATCATAAAGGATTTTTCATGTGTGTACCATTAATTATTAAAGGGACCTCGTTCGCCCTGTCAGATAAGTTTAATGTTTAGTTTGAGGCATGAAGAAGAAAAGGGTTTCCATTCTTCAGCAGTAAGCCTTTGTGTCAGGCATTTGTTTAAGAAAATGAAATGAAGGAAACATTGTGCAATGTTTTTTGTTTTGAGCATATCAGTGCTTTACTGTCAGCCGCAGCTGTGACCGTCTGGCCATTTCAGAGTCGGGAGCCGAGGTGGCTGTTGTCATTGCTGATCCTGTGAGAATGTGAAACTGGATAATATATGAAATGCAAAATAAAACAAAATCAAGATGACTGCTCTCTGGCCTTTGCTTCCCCCTTCCATAGGATGCAGTCTGCCGTTGGGAAGGCAGTGCCGGAGAGATGTGGAGTCGGGGGAAGGAAGTGAGGTGGGCCTGGCCTGCTGGCAGCTGGCTTGTGACTGTAAAGGTGGAGAGGACCCTGGGGCTCGCTTAGCCTCTCCTGCCTCTGCCTCCCTCTTTTGTAAGCTTGAGAAACAAAGTCCTAGGGGACGTGACTTGCCCAAGGGCCCAGCAGCTGGGGTTTCACTTTCTTACTTCCAGGCTGTCAGGGTAGGGAGACACTCCCTGCACCCAGAGAAGGCCCCCAGTGGGACCTTCCTTTTCTAGGTGCGCTGTGACCCATTCAGCTTGACCCTTCGCAGCCGGTGGTCTTTTCCAGCCTCGCTCTAGTACAAGAGGACCGAGGTTTGGGCTGTTGGGCTCTGCCAGGTGGTGTCTGTCCTTTGCGAGGCTATGCTGGAGGGAAGGCTGGGACCTGGAATTTTGCCCAGAAGGGGTTAACCTCATCTGCCCTGTAGTCTACAGGCTGCAACTCTCATTCCTCTGATTGAGCAGGAGGAGCAGATGGGTGTGAGGGTCAGGGAGGCTGTGCAGTGCCCAGAGCCCAGCTGGAATGCCTGCCATGGCCCTGAGGCTTCCCTTTTGTGACTTGGGGTCTCAGGTTCCTTGTCTGTGAAGATGTGGCTTGAAATCCTTTCCAGCTCTTACTGGAGGGCTGGTGCGCTGAACTCAGGGTTTAACGGTTTGTTTTTTTAAATCCACTCCTAGGAGAGCTACCCTGCACCCCACCCCATCTGAGACCCAAAGCCGTGGCTGGAAAAGGGGGGTGGTAGGGGCCCCAGAACCCCCCTCCCAGTAGATGTTGCCCCAGCCTTGCTCTGAGTCAAACTAAAGTGGCTGTGGCTGGCTCTGGTCACTTCCTCACTTGCCCCTCGGGTGACCACTCCCCACCTTCACCCCCCTCCTGAATCCCAGTCCTGCACTGGTCGGCTTGGGTCTAAGATGGCACTGCTAGTGAATGTGTCAGCTGGCGACATGTGTGGCCCAGCTTCTGTGAGGGTGGAGGAGGAGGAGGAGCCTGGCCGGGAGCAGGCTCTGCAAGCAACCGTGGGTAAGTTACCTGGACCTCAGAGGGAGGCTGTGTGACTGCCTGGAGGAGTCGGAGGTTACTCGTCTCCCGAGCTGTGCTCTTTGCCTCGATACAGTATTGGACCAGCTGGCAAAGCCGCCCAGCCTTCAGCCTCTGCCTGTGCCACTGGGGAAGCTGCTCCGAGCCCTGCGGCCCCCACCCAGGGCCAAGCCGAGGTCTGACCTACTTCGTCTGTGTCAGGAACCACTGGGTCTTCCTGAGGTTGTGAATTATTTAGCGAGGGCGCCCGGGCCTTTCTGAGAGGGGCTAAGACAGCTGCTCCATAATTTAAAGGCCCCTGTGCCTGCGGCTTCTCTGGGGGGCCTCCTTCACACTTTGGCGAGCAGGGCCCAGGCCTGGTTCTGCGAGGAGGAGCTGGGGAAGGAGAGGCCTGCAGCCATTCTAGAGGGCGCTCTCAGCAGGACTGGGGGCATTTCTCGGGGTGCGGCCTCTGCAGAAAGGCCTTAGTGGACAGTCACGTTTGGACTGAACGTGGGTTGAGGAGCCTCCAGTAGTTCAGGGCTCCCTGGCTGGGGTCAGAAGCAGCTGTTTCCTGATTCCCTGTCCTGCGCTCTTTCCAGAAAGCAGATCGTTCTTCCCAGAGGTGTTGAGTCCTGATCGCTGATTGCAGATAAAAGTGTTATTTCCCTTCTGAAAGGGAGTTAGGCATCCGGAACCACCAGGGTTCTTCCCCCAGCCCCTGCACCCTGAGATGATGGAGTCTCTCTCTGTTGCCCAGGCTGGAGTGCAGTGACATGATCTCTGCTCACTACAACCTCTTCCTCCTGGGTTCAAGCCATTCTCCTGCCTCACCCTCTCCAGTAGTTAGAACTACAGGCATGCCCCACCATACCCAGCTAATTTTTGTTTCTTTTGAGACGGAGTTTCACTCTTGTTGCCCAGGCTGGAGTGCAACGTTGGGATCTCGGCTCACCATAAACTCCACCTCCCAGGTTCAAGCGATTCTCCTGCCTCAGCCTCCCGAGTAGCTGGGATTATAGGCATGCGCCACCACACCTGGCTAATTTTGTATTTTTAATAGAGATGGGGTTTCTCCATGTTGGTTAGGTTGGTCTTGAACTCCTATCCTCAGGTGATTTGCCTGCCTTGGCCTCCCAAAGTGCTAGGATTACAGGCGTGAGCCACGATGCCTGACCCCCACCAGGGTTCTTTTTGGTTTGGGGGTCCCTTCCCAGCAACGATGAAATCTCCCTGTTGGCAGAAAAGGCTGTGTTTCCATGTAACCCCCTCCCCACAAGCAGACTAGTGAGGCTAGTACTAAACAGATGCTCGTGAGCCACTGGGAAGCCCCTGCTCCCCCCATGCCCTGGCTAGAGCAAAAGAGATGGCGCTTGTCACCCTGGCTGGACCATCCTTGGGTGCTGCTGCCTAGCCACCATTTTTTCTTTTCTTTTTTATTTTTTTGGAGACAGGGTCTCTCTCTGCTACTCTGGAGTGCAATGGTGTGATCATGGTTCATTGCAACCTCTGCCTCCTGGGCTCAATTAATCCTCCTACCTCAGCCTCCAGAGTAGTAGCTGGGACCACAGGCACACACCACCATGCCTGGCTAATTTATGTATTTTTTTGTAGAGACCCAGGGGTTTCACCATGTTGGCCAGACTGGTCTCAAACTTTTGGGCTCAAGTGATCCACCTGCCTCAGCCTCCCAAAGTGCTGGTATTACAGGCATGAGCCATGATGCCCAGCGATTTTAAGGGATGGATGTGACTTATTTTGGAGCTTTCCCAGGCAGGTTCCCAGGTTCTAGGCTGTGTGGCCTGACACGATGATGCATCTTGGTGATCCAGAGGTCTGGAGCAGGGGCGGGACGGATCCAGGCCTCCCTCATGCCCACTGTTCTACCCCACCCTGTCCTGCCTGCACGTGCCCTGCAGAACTCCATTTCCTGAGATCTGGAATAAAGCCTTTGGATCTTGAGTTTTTTTGTCAGAAGGCAAATATCCCTGAGAAACCAGGCTGAGTCCCTCAGAGGAGGGAAGTAGGGAAAGTGCCAGAAGGGGACCGTGGAAGGGAAAGGTGGAAAATGGGAGGATAAAGACTCCTGCAAATGTCTGAGGAGGAGGGAGCAGAGCCACCCTAGTCAGCTGAGGGCCTGCCCTACCTCACATCTTCTGCACCAGCCTCCACCCAGGTGGCCCCGTAGGAGGGCAGGCCCTGCCCCAATGCCTGCTCTCAGGCAGAGGAGGGGCTCCAGGAGCAAGGAGAGCAAGGCTGGACAGGATCACTGTCTTGGCAGCTTTCCAGGGCGGCCTGGAAAGGGGCATGTGGTGCGGGTCCATTCCATTCCCCTTCCCCCACCTCCTTGACCATCACCCCCAGCTCCCTGGTCTCTGGTTGGGATGAGGGAATAGGAACCTCTGCAGGAGTTTGGAGGGAGGTCAGGTACCCTTGGCCATTGTCTTCATGACCTTCCAGCCACCTTAAATCTGTTCTTCTGAGGGGCCCTTCAGATGACCCCAGGAAACCGGGATTGGACGTTGGCATTGAGTCCACCCAGCTCTCCCTTTCACAGATGGAGACGGTGAAGCACAGAGGTGAGTGGTTTGCCCTAAAGCCAGCCCTTTGTTGTTTTGGAGACAGCGGCCAGTGCATGCCCCACTGGTGTCTCCTGCCTTCCAGTCAGTCCAGCACCGCACAGGTTAGGCAGGCAGCAGACGCCTTACCCACAGGCTTGGAAGCCTCTCCCTGCAGTGCTAGAGCCGTGGTTATGGCTCAGGCCTGCTGGCTGCACACCTCTTCTTGGCATGCTGTACATACTCTCGTCTTCTGTCTTGGTCTAAACATGACCTGATCTTCCCTGGGACACTGGGTCTTACTCCCTGGTTAAGGGACAAAGAGAATCCCTTAGTGACCCAGCTAGCTTCAGCTTAGCCTCGTGTAGTCTGGTCTTCAACCCAGTGACAGGGCTGTTGGACCTGCAGGACACATCTGGCTCTCAGCTTATGCAAGAACCAGGACAGTGGATCTGCATTTCTGTCTGTAGCAGAGAAAATGCAGCCGTTGAGTAGGAGGAGCTTAAGAGATAGGAATGGCTGTCTCATCCCAGAAAAGCCCAGGCCTTTCCTCGGAGTGTGTGTTTCTTTGTGACTATGTTTCCTTCCCTCATCAGGTTATGAGTTTTAATGATAACATAAGAACATTGGTTGTGTTATGACACAAAAATGTGCCTAACACATAGTAGGTACTCCCTAAATGTTTTCTATGGTTATTTTTCTTTCTTGCTTTATTTTTGAGACAGAGTCTCACTCTGCTGCCCAGGTTGGAGTGCAGTGGCGCAATCTTAGCTCACTGCAACCTCTGCCTCCCGAGTTCAAGCAATTCTCCCTGCCTCAGCCTCCCAAGTAGCTGGAATTATAGGCACCCACCACCACGCCTGGCTAATTTTTATATTTTTAGTGGACACAAGATTTCTCCATGTGGCCTTTAACCCAGGGATTAGGGTTGGTCTCGAACCTTGGACTCAAGTGATCCCCTTGCCTCAGCTTCCCAAAGTGTTGGGATTACAGGCATGAGCCACCACGCCTGGCCAGTGGTTATATTAAAAAGATACTATTTCACTCATTCGGGCACTTCACGAATCACGGGTGACGGAGTTTCGCTCATGTTACCCAGGCTGGAGTGCAATGGCGCGATCTCGGCTCACCGCAACCTCCGCCTCCTGGGTTCAGGCAATTCTCCTGCCTCAGCCTCCTGAGTAGCTGGGATTACAGGCACGCACCACCATGCCCAGCTAATTTTTTGTATTTTTAGTAGAGACGCGGTTTCACCATGTTGACCAGGATGGTCTCGATCTCTTGACCTGGTGATCCACCCGCCTCGGCCTCCCAAAGTGCTGGGATTACAGGCTTGAGCCACCGCGCCCGGCCTTCACTCATTCTTAACAAGCAGTGAAATTGAGTTGATTCCAATTGATGCACTCCTTTTTACCCCCCCCCCAGGGGAAAGCGCGAATGCAGTCCCCCACTACCACAAATTATGCAGTCGAGTTTCCCACATTTGGGGAAATCGCAGAGGTCAGCACATCCGAAGTGCAATGGATAAGCCTCGCCCTGGGAAAACCACCTTCATGATCATGGTATCTCCCCTGTCAGGTAAGTATGATGTACTCCTTGACTGGTTGTTCATTGGATTAACAGTCATTGAAAAAAAATTTTTTTTTTGAGTCAGAGTCTTACTGTGTCACCCAGGCTGGAGTGCAGTGGCACAATCTTGGCTGACTGCAACCTTCGTCTCCCGGGTTCAAGCAATTCTTCTGCCTCAGCCTCCTGAGTAGCTAGGACGACAGGTACGCGCCACCATGCCCGGCTAATTTTTGTATTTTTAGTAGATACGGGATTTCACCATGTTGGCCAGGCTGGTCTTGAACTCCTGACCTTGTGATCCCCCCACCTCAGCCTCCCAAGTTCTTTGATTACAGGCGTGAGATTCCACACCCCCCCCCTTTAGACAAAACACCCGACCCCATTGAAAGTTTTTTTTTTTTTGAGACAGTCTGGCTCTGTTACTTGGGCTGGAGTGCATTGGTGCCATCTTGGATCTCTGCAACCTCTGCCTCCCAGGTTAAAGCGATTCTCCTGCCTCAGCTTCCTGAGTAGTTGGGATTACAGGCACCTGCCACCACACCCAGCTAATGTTTTGTATTTTTAATAGAGATGGCGTTTCACCATGTTGTCCAGGCTGGTCTTTAACTTCTGACCTTGGGTGATCCACCCATTTTGGCCTCCCAAAGTGCTGGGATTACAGGTATGAACCATCTCGCCTGGCCCATTGAAAGATTTTTAACCCCATGTTTTGCCTGGGAGAGAGGTGAAAGGAAGGGGTGGGGCCCAGAAGTCTAGTAGAACACACGCAAGATCCCAGAGCCAGTGGCTTTTGGCACTGAGTCTACTCTAGCTTTTTTTTCCCCAGGCAGAGTCTCATTCTGTCCCCCAGGCTGGATTGCAGTGTCATGATCTCGGCTTAGTGGAACCTCCACCTCAGCCTCCTGAGTAGCTAGGATTATAGGTATGTGCCACTACGCCCACCTGATTTTTGTATTTTTAGTATCGTCAGGGTTTTGCCATCTTGGGCTGGTCTCAAACTCCTGACCTCAAATGATCTGCCCACCTCAGCCTCCCAAAGTGCTAGGATTACAGGCATGAGCCACCATGCCCAGCTTTCTAGCCTTTTTATCAAACCACTTAGGGCTTCATAGTTCTGACAGTAGTTGTAATCATACACTTCTTCAGAGTTTATAATATATACATTTGTTGTCTCCCATGATTGCCATTCAAGCCTGCTGACACAACAGAGAGGAGTTGGCTGGGCGTGGTGGCAGCTTGGCCAACAGGGCAAAACCCTGTCTGTACTAAAAATGGAAAAATTAGTCAGGCATGGTGACATGTGACTGTAATCCCAGATACTAGGGAGGCTGAGGCAGGAGAATCACTTGAACCTAGAGGCAGAGGTTGCAGTGAGCCCAGATCATGGCGCCACTGCACTCCAGCCTGGGCAACAGAGTGAGACTCTGTCTCGGAAAAAAAAAAAAAAGCCTTCACCAAAGCAGAAGGTTTAGTTACCTGGTTTTCTAGTTCCCCAGGCAGAGTGAAATGGCTCACTGTGATTCTGGGTCCCGGGGTCCCACAAAGACCCAGGTTCCTCCAACTCTGGAGAAGCTCATGGGGACCAGAGAGGCCAACCTGGGCAGGAGGAAGAGCCAGTCCGCCCAGATTGCTCTAGAAGCCTGGTTATGAAATAGGACGAAAACAAACAAAAACCTGGCTGGGCGCGGTGGCTCATGCCTGTAATCTCAGCACTTTGGGAGGCCAAGGTGGATGCATCACCTGAGGTCGGGAGTTTGACACCGGCCTGGCCAACATGGTGAAACCCTGTCTCTACTAAAAGGACAAAATTAGCTGGGTGTGGTGGCATATGCCTGTAATCCCAGCTACTTGGGAGGCTGAGGCATGAGAATTGCTTGAACCTGGGAGGTGGAAGTTGCAGTGAGCCAAGAATGTGCCACTGTACTCCAGCCTGGGTGACAGAGGGATACTCCATCTCACAAACAAATAAATAATAAAAACCATCGAAGGCCGGGCGCGGTGGCTCACGCCTGTAATCCCAGCACTTTGGGAGGCCGAGGCGGGTGGATCACGAGGTCAAGAGATCGAGACCATCCTGGTCAACATGGTGAAACCCCGTCTCTACTAAAAATACAAAAAATTAGCTGGGCATGGTGGTGCGTGCCTGTAATCCCAGCTACTCAGGAGGCTGAGGCAGGAGAATTGCCTGAACCCAGGAGGCGGAGGTTGCGGTGAGCCGAGATCGCGCCATTGCACCCCAGCCTGGGTAACATGAGTGAAACTCCGTCTCAAAAAAAAATAAAAAATAAAAACCATCGAATAGCAGCCTGGTTAAGAAATAGGCCGAAAACAAAAATAAAAACCATCAAACAGAAAAACCCTCCAACTATTTGAATATGTGAGAGGGAAAAAACTTTCAAAAACCTGGACAAGGGTGAGCAGAGCCTAGAAATCTCTCAAGGTAGACTTGCTTCCTCATTTGGCCAAACTGGATTATACTTGTGCCAATATCAGCTGCCTATATCTAAATTTATCACTTCCGAGTTTGTGAGCAGCTACATCCTCACAATGCTGTCTGAATGAGTAGTTTTTATTCATCAAGGTGAATTGAGTTTGTTCTCAATCACTTACCATCACCAAGTGGAATAAGAGAGAAGGAGAGAGCTAAGTTCACAGGTGCTGCTACAAGGAGACTCTGCCCTGATCCTCGAAGCTGCCCTGGGAAGGCTGCTTGGGAAGGATCATCTCCATCCCACAGACAGGAAGTCCAAGTTCAGAAAGGTGCCATGGTCATGTTTGATCATGATGAGCTGATCCAGAGCCAAGAGCTCTGGGCTCCTGCCCCCAAGCAGGAAGGACCATGCTGACTGACCCTTGCATTCTCCCTGGTCCAGTCATTGTTTTCAGCAAACACTGTGGTGCACCTGCCCTTTGCTGAGCCTGTGTTTAGTGCTGGAGTGGAGGATGAGGCACTGTTTCTGTTTTCAGGGGATGCACAGCCTTGAGTGTGGGAGTCTGGGCTGTGGAGCTTCTCAAACAGAAAGCTGGGGGTTATTGGTGATTCTGAACCACCGCTTCCCTCTTTACCCAGAAGCCGGCTGCTGCCTGCCCTTCCCCACTGGTCCAGAGCAGTGCTCTGGACCCCATGGTATCGTGGTTCTGTGCCTGGCCTCTCAGAACTGCATGAGCTGCACACAGAGGGACATGCCCCATCTCCTACCTTAGGGTGACTGCAACTTCCAGAGCTGTAGGGCTGAAGGCCAACAGGGTTGTGGGGTGTGCCTTATGCTGTGCTGAGGAAATGCAGCTGGCCTCACCTGACTCTGCTCATTGGTGGCGTGGCCCCTCGAGCCCAGCTGTGTTTTCCTTGTACTTCTGTGTCCTGTCTCTTTATTTCTCGGATCCTGTGCCTCAGCATAGCATAAGGCACAGCCCATGACCCTGTGGGGCCGTCAGTCCTACACAGAGCAGGACGCCCTCAGGCTCTGTCCCCTGCTGAAGGTGGTCTCTTAGATGAGAGGCTTCTCAGATGGGCCTGTTTCTCTCTCCAGCCCCAGGTTCCCATTCCTGAAAGCAGGCGTGTGCATCTTAAAAACTAACTTGTGTCTCCAGAAAGTCTTGGAGGGAGAGGGGCTGGGAGGGGCGGGGGTGGGAGAAGCAAGGGCCACCTCCTTTTGGAGCGGTGGCCTTCTCCAGGGTTCTCCCCAAAGGCCACATTGCTGAGTATCCATTCGTGTGTGCTTCCCCAGGGCCAACGTGCTGAAATCTCTCCTGTCTACAGCTGCCAGGAGAATCGTGCCCAGACGCTACTTTCACAGCTTTGAGAACTTCCTTCGGTGGTTCTCTAGAGCATATGGGCCGATGGCCAGTGCCACACATTCAGGACACACCCCACCTGGCTTCTGGTCCCTTCTTCCTGGTGATGGGAGACATTTGCTAACCACCGTCATCCCCCTTGTTCTACAGAGCGGCTTCCCCTCTCTACTAGATCAGGCATTGCCTTAATCTTCAAGGTAATGGAAACTGGACCCACCTGGGTCTCATTCTGGGTCCCCCTTTTCTGATGTATTTGTAGGCATGCTCTGTGGCCCCAGCAAGTCCCTTTCTTTCTTTGGTCTCCCCCTCCTATGCCCACCTTTGTTTACATCTCAGGCCCCTTGTCTTGGCCTAGTGGTGACCAAGGTGAGGCTTCTGCTCACCTTAAGACAGCACTAGGCAGGTAGGTGCCTCTGGCACAGCCTCCTTCCTCTGGGAGCTGGCAGGGCCGCGTGATCCTGGGGCGCCCTCTTGTGGGTGAAAATCCTCATAAACCTCATCTGTATTTTTTCCCTTTTGATCTTCTGGGATTAACCTCTGCCTGGGGCCATTTATTCCGAACTCTATGGGCGCCTCTGTTCTCAGAGGCAGTCAGGTAGTCGGTCACAAACAAACAGAAACATGGGGTGCGTCCTGCATTTGTACATACTTATATGCTAGTAGTCACTCTGCTTGCACTGGGGATACAAAAGTGAATATTAGGCCCAGAGAGATTTGGTCCAGTCCCCTCGGTTTACAGATGGAGAAGCTTCAGCCCTCAGAAGCAGAGAGAGGCACCAAACTTATCTGGTTATGCAGGCTTCACACAAAACTCAGGTGTCCCGACTATCATCGGAAAGCAAGTCGCTTCCATCTCCCTGATGAAACTCCTGGATGTCATAGTAACAAAGCTTAGCACCCACGATTGATGTTTTCAGGAATTACATTCCTCATTTCTCATGTCTGGTAGATTTTACCCACGGGAATGGCAGGGATAGACCCCCTCCCAGTGTACTTTTCTCAGGGGTCACTCTGCTGGCAGCATTGCCAGGCACTGTCTTGTCTGCAAACCTTGCTGGTGCCTGCACAGACTGGACGTTCTTTCAGGACATAACTCCTGCCATTGTCACTCACCAGCACAGTCGAGGGTCTTTGTGATACCTAACACATGCCTGGGAATGGCTACTTCACTTTTTTTTTTGAGACAGGGTCTTGCTGTGTCACCCACGCTGGAGTGCAGCAGCGCAGTCGGCTCACTGCAGCCTCAATCCTGAGCTCAGGTGATCTTCCTGCCTCAGCCTCCCAATTAGCTGGGACTACAGGTGTGCACCACCATGCCTGGCTAATACTTTAAAACATTTTTTGAAGAGACAAGGTCCAGGCCCAGGTTGGTCTCAAACTCCTGGCTCAAGTGATCCACCCGCCTTGTCTTCTCACAGTGCTGGGATTATAAGCAGGCAATGACTTTCCTGTGCCCGTAGGTCTTCGAGTATATGCTGATGATGCTTAGTGGTGGTCCTCGGGAAGCGATTCAAGCACTGGATGTCTGGTGGACCCGTCCTGGTGTGTGCGTGTGTGTGTGTGTGTGTGTGTGTGTGTGTGTAATGTATATACTATAACATAGTATATATCAGAATATATGATATATATGGTATTCTAACATTTCATATATGATATATGTGTTTTAATTTTTTTTGTTGTTGAGACAGAATCTTGCTCTGTTGCCTCACCTAGGCGACAGGCTAGACTGGAGTGCAGTGGCGTGATCTTGGCTCACTGCAACGTCCGCCTCGTAGGTTCAAGTGATTCTCCTGTCTCAGCCTCTCTAATAGCTGGGACTACAGGCACACACAACCATGCCCAGCTAATTTTTTTTTTTGTATTTTTAGTAGAGATGGGGTTTCATCATGTTGGCCAGGCTGGTCTCAGTCGACCTCAAGTGATCTGCCCGCCTCGGCCTCCCAAAGTGCTGGGATTATAGGCATGAGCCACTGTGCCCAGCCAGTTTCTTTTCTTTTCTTTTTGAGAGGGAGCTCACTTTGTCTCAGGCTGGAGTGCAATGGTGTGATCTTCGCTCACTGCAATCTCCGCCTCCTGGGTTCAAGTGCCTCAGCCTTCCGAGTAGCTAGGATTACAGGTGGCTGCCACCATGCCTGGGTGATTTTTGTATTTTCAGTGGAGAGGGGGTTTCACCACATTGGCCAGGCTGGTCTGGAACTTCTGACCTCAGGTGATCTGCCTGCCTCGGCCTCCCAGAGTGCTGAAGTACAGGCACGAGCCAGTGTGCTGTGTCCTATTCTGATATTTTTTGACCCCGCTGTCCACCATGAAGTGCTGGACTTAGTCAAGAGTTGGAAACTCCTGCTCTGCAGGAAGTGAGGAGACTTGGGGAGGCAGGCTGGGTGACTGGGTGACAGGAGGAGGGGGCAGTGGCTGCCTCTTGGTCCCAGCCAGCTGCTGCTCAGCAAGGTGGGGGGCCCTTTGTGGCTTCATGTTTTGATTTTTTAACAGAAATTGGACATTCAGATTTTAATGTAAAAAGTCCTGATTTTGGATGCTGGTAACTAACCAAACCATATCAAGCCATTTCATGGGCTATACTATGGCCCATGTGCTTATTACTTTGCAACTTCACGTCAAAGATTCCTAGTTTTCACTCTGTGCAGAAACTCTGGGGACAGAAACTGCCAAGTGCACAGTTAGGCCCAACCTATAGGTGTGACCTCTTCCTCTCCCTCCTTTGTTTCCTTTTGTTTTTTTAATAGCCATCAGAGAGCCAGGCCCAAAGGCTGCATTATCTGAGAATCTTGCCCTCACCCACATACATCCTACCTCCTCTGAGGAAGAACCAGCAATGCTTCCAGAGGCCACCAGAGGGCAGGGTGGAGTGCCAAAAACTATCGGTTTTCGCTAGTGGAGAAGTGGAGGTTGTGATCTTAATCTGGCATCCAGGTTTAGAGGTTCAGGAAGGCAGCTAGGGTCACTTGCCGAGGTTGCAGTGTGGCTCACCATTCCCAGACACACCTCCCAGTGGATGCCCATCACCTCATTTCTGGATCATAGGAGCTACTTTCTTTCTTAAAAATAAAAAGGCTGGGCGTGGTGGCTCATGCCTGTAATCCCAGCACTTTGGGAGGCTAAGGCAGACAGATCACAAGGTCAGAAGTTTGAGACCAGCCTGGCCAATTGGTGAAACCCTGGCTCTACTAAAAATACAAAAATTGGTGAAACCCTGTCTCTACTAAAAATACAAAAATTAGCTGGGTGTGGTGGCGTGCACATGTAGTCCCAGTTACTCAGAAGCTACTTCTGAGGCAGAAGAATTGCTTGAACCCAAGAGGCGGACGTTGCAGTGAGCTGAGATTGCACCAATGCACTCCAGCCTGGGCGACAGAGTGACTCTATCTAAAAAAAAAAAAAAAAGCTGCTCAGGCTGGGGTGCAATGGCACTAGCCACCATACCCAGCTAATTAAAAAAAATTTTTTTTGTAGAGACAAGGGTCTCGCTTTGTTGCCCAAGCTGGTCTCAAACTCCTGGGTTCAAGCAGTCCTCCCACCCTCAGCCTTCCAGTGTTGGATTACAGGCATGAGCCACTGTGCCTGGCCCGTAGGAGCAACTTTCTATCGGTACTTTCTGTCCTTAGCCGTTTCCCACCACCCCCCCTCCCCACACACACACACACTGTCTCTCATGCCCCCAACCACCCAGCAGTCACCGATATCCGCTTGGTCTGCTCCAAACCCACTCGCTACAGACCTTGTCAAGAGGCTTCAATGGTTCTTTGTTGTATAAAGCTAGAACATCCGGTTTCTCAGAAGTGGAGCATCGAGATGCTGATCCCAGTCAGGTAAGCAGGAGTCAGCCGGAGAGGTTGTAATTTCCTTCATCTCCAGTGTGATTGTAAGGGCAGGCTTGCTGTTCCAACTTCATACATGAGGACATGAAGCACATGGAGAAAAGTGTCTGCCATCAGCCTAACTCAGACACTTTGAGTGTCCATGCTAGATGGTGTAGGAGATAGAAAACCCCTGAAGATACGGTTCCCTCAAAGAAACTAACAGCCTGTTAGGAAAACATGATACTCATCTAAAAAGATAACCAATTCCCAGCAGCTTTCAAGTAGATGGTACAAGCAATAGCAACAGTGGGAATGTCAGAGAGAGGTCCCTGGATGTGAGGGTCAGGGAAGGCTTCCCGAAGGAAGTAGTGGTCTTCAAATAAGGCATGTGCACCCCAAGTGTACCCACAGAGATAAAGAATTTTCACTCTTTTTATTTGTTTAATTTTTTTTTTTTTTTGAGACTGAGTCTTGCTCTGTAGCTGAGATTGGAGTGCAGTGGCACAGTCTTGCACTCCCAAAGTGCTTGGCTTACTGAAACTTCCACCTCCTGGGTTTAAGAGATTCTCTCCTGCCTCAGCTTCTCTAGTACTGCAGCTGGGATTACAGGCACATGCCACCATGCCTGGCTAATTTTTGCATTTTTAGTAGTGATGGGGTTTCATCATGTTGGCCATGCTGGTCTCAAACTCCTGACCTCAGGTGATCCACCTGCCTCAGCATCGCAAAGTGCTGGGATTACAGGTTTGAGCCAACAGGCCCAGCCAAATTTTTATTTTTATTATTATTATTGTTTGAGACAGAGTTTTGTTCTTGTTGCCAGGGCAGGAGTGCAATGGTGTGATCTCAGCTCACTGTAACCTCCACCTCCTGGGTTCAAGTGATTCTCCTGTTTCAGTCTTCTGAGTAGCTGGGATTACAGGTGTGCGCCACACATCTGGCTAATTTTTGTATTTTTAGTAGAGACGGGGTTTTACCACATTGGTCAGGCTGGTCTCAAACTCCTGACCTCAGGTGATCTGCCCACCTCGGCCTCCCAAAGTGCTGGGATTACAGGTGGGAGCCACTGCACCCGGCCTATATTCATTTTTTTTATTGAGACAGAATCTTGCTCTGTCATTAAGGCTGGAGTATAGTGGTGCTACCTCAGTTCACTGTAACCTCTGCTTCCTGGGTTTAGATAATTCTTGTGCCTCTCTCCCCAGTAGCTGGGATTACAGGTGTGCACCACCATGCCTGGCTAATTTTTTTTTTTTTTGAGATGGAGTTTTACTCTTGTTGCTCAGGCTTGAGTACAATAGCACGATCCTGGCTCACTGCAACCTCTGCCTCCTGGATGCAAGCGACTTTCCTGCCTCAGCCTCCCAAGTAGCTGAGATTACAGGCATGCGCCACCACACCCAGCTAATTTTGTACTTTTAGTCCAAGACAGGGTTTTACTATGTTGGTCAGGCTAGTCTTGAACTCCTGACATCAGGTGATCCACCCACCTCGGCCTCCCAAAGTGCTGGGATTACAGGGGCGAGCCACCATCCTTGGCCTTAATTTTTGTGTTTTTAGTAGAGACAGCGTTTCACCATGTTGGCCAGGCTGGTCTTGAACTCCTGGTCTCAAGTGATCTCCCTCTTTGGCCTCCCAAAGTGCTGAAATTACAGGCATGAGCCACCGTGCCTGGCTAATTTTTGTATTTTTAGTAGAGATAGGGTTTTGCCATGTTTCCCAGGTTGCTCTCAAACTTCTGGGCTCAAGTGATCCACCCACCTCAGTCTCCCAAAGTGCTAGAATTATAGGCATTAGCCATCATACTTGGCCCTTCATCCTAGATCTTAGGAGATCTGGTATGTTGGAGATCTGGTATTTGGCATGTTGGAGATCTGGTTTTTGGCATGTTGGAGATCTGGTATTTTGTATGTTGGTGATCTGGTATTTGGCATGTTGGAGATCTGGTATTTGG